GCATGGCAAGAAACTACTTGCCATGAAGTATGCACTGGCTAAGTTTCGCGTCTATCTCTTGGGAGATAGACCGTTCATCGTCTATACGGACCATGCGTCACTACGCACGGCCGTAAACAGTCCACACCTCTACCAAAGGATGGCGAGGTGGCTGTCCGTCTTCGCGGAGTATAACTTCTCCGTGGAGTACAAACCAGGACGACTTAATGTCGTTGCTGATGCATTATCACGTCGGCCCGACTTCGAGCCGACAACACGCGCAAACAGTGAGGCCTTGACCATTGTTGCGACACTGTCCATCAGTGTGCCGTCGTCGCCTTTACTCGACGACGTGCGGAAAACATACGCAGGAGACACGAATCTTCTCCGTTTGATGGGTCATCTTGCGAACCCATCCCGGAAATCCTTGTCGGATTTGCCGGCTCTGTACCGTTCCTCTTTGGATCGGTACACTACTCGCAATGGCCTGCTGTACTATACAGCAGTTGCCGACGACACGCATCGTGTCGTCGTTCCCGATAATGATGACTTGCGATTACGCATCATGCATAAGTGTCACGACGCGCCATCTCGCGGGCATCGTGGCCAAGAAAAGACTTACCTCACGGTCAGTCGTGACTTTTACTGGCCCCGCCAGTATCAGTTTGTCCTCATGTCCATTAGTTCTTTCAAAGTCTATCAGCGGGTGAAGCCTAGTCCTTCATCCCGTGCACCGTTACAGCCTCTGCCGGTCCCGGCAGAGTGTTGGGAGTCCGTCTCCATGAACTTTGTCTTCGGGTTTCCCGAAGACTCTCACAATTATAATGGTATTCTTGTGTTTGTGGATCGTTTCAGCAAGATGGTACATCTTACTGCAGTCCCAGAATCGATCAAAGCCCACGGCTGTGCGCTTGTCTTTCTCGACACGGTCTTTAGACTCCACGGTTTACCCCGTGAACTCGTATCCGACCGTGACCCTCGGTTCACGGCGTCGTTTTGGCAATCTGTGTTCCGCACATTGGGAACACGGTTGAAGATGTCAACCTCTGACCATCCTGAAACAGATGGTCAGACAGAACGTGCGAACCGTGTACTCGAAGAAATTCTTCGTGGATACGTCCACTCCTTTTCACATTGGCGTGAGTTTTTACCGATGGTTGAGTTTGCCATCAACAACTCCGTGCATGCGTCCACAACGCCTACACCGTTCTACGTGAATGGTTTACGCCACCCACGTATTCCCGCCCTCATACAGAGTGACTCTGAGTTTAGGGGGGGGGGACTTGCTCTAGCAAAAATCGTTTTGGCTCTTGCTCATCACGTATCACCGCTCACGCCGATACGCTTGATGCCGATGTCGACAACGTAGACACCAAGGAAATCGAGCTTAGCAGTAGCGATGACGCTGTTGATACATCAGACAATGATGACGATGCTGGGATATTCAGCATCGTCAACGACAATGCCAGCGAGGAAGAAGACACCCTCGCTGAAGAAGAGAACGATATCTTAGCAGTGCGCACGAAGTGCACTGAAAAACACAACAACGAGTCAGCAGAGAACTTCCTGCTGATTCGAGAGGCGGTAGTCCGTTTCGTTCAGGACTCCATCGCAAATGCGGTGGACCGCCAGAAACGAAACGCAGACAAGAATGGAAGAGCAAATGTTCTTTCAGTTCAGGTTAACGACCTAGTACTACTGTCTACGGTAAACTTACCTGGACATGCAGTCACTAGTGTCGGCAGTATTAAACTACTGCCGAAATACATTGGTCCCTTTCGTGTGTTGCACCACAAGGGCAATGCGTACACGATCGAATTGCCTCGTAGGATGCTCACGCATCCTACGTTTCATGTTTTTCGTCTCCGCCCGTACCATCAATACGAGGCTTCTTGCGAGAACGGAGATAACCGGCGCGCTCAAGAACCCCCAACAGATTCTTGTGATCACGGACCAAACACTGAAGATGGTCCTTCGTCGAAATGAGTTGGTCCTTCATCGACGCGGCCTCGCGACGAGCCGCCTCTATCTCGTCGCGCAAATGACGCCTCTCGCGTTCACTCTCAAGCTGAGTGAACGCGAATTCCGATCGGTCCTTCTCCCGATCGGCACGAAGACGTCGCACGTCCGACTGCAAGGCGTGCAGACGATCGTATTCGTGATCGACGTCCTCCCTCAGCTCGGTCAGGTAACGCTCGTGTTTACCCAAAGTCTCGTGCAGGCCCGGAGGCTGAGCCGGACCTTGCATTTCCTCCTCCACCACATCCTTTGGTGGATTCTCACGGTGGTCAACGCTTTCTTGTGGAGCGTATCTTGAACCACCGTGGCGATTCAGAATCAAGTAGGAGCTACCTCGTCCGGTGGCGTGGGTACCTACCTTCCTTTGACAGCTGGGAACCTCGTTCCCAGCTGATGGCTGACGTTGAAGGCCTCGTCCACCAGTATGACGAGACTCACCCGATGCGTCCTCGGGTCCATCGGTAAACACGCGCTTTTGGCGCTTGTAGACGGATTGCAAGTTTGCAATCGTGTCCCGCATCTCAGCCGAGATGTGTGCCCTTCCCCAGGACAAACTTAGGAAATACACGTCCCTATGTGCACGTTGCGAGTTGTCGACACAGCTCGCACAAGGATCACCCCACGTGAGGCATGGAATGCCGGCCTCACTTGACAAACAATGCAGCCGGTACCTTGCACCGCTTGGCGTTCGCTTTTCGAACTTGAGGCGTATCGCTTCAGGTTTCTTAAGCCATCCCTTCTCGTCCAAAATTCTTGACATTTTGGACGAAGGCGTTCCACGCTGCCAACAGCGAGTTCTTGTCACGCTTTTGGTTGCCATTGTACCATCGATGCCTAAAGAAGGCATCGAGATAAAAATCTTCTTCAGCGCGAAAGTTTCTCGCGCTGGGTCCTAAGCCATGAAGCTCAGCTGCATCGAATAATGGAATTCGATAGTGCTGGCTTGTCTCGTGAGATGGTCTATCGATGAGCTGGTCGGGCAAGCGCCACGGCTTGAGCTCACCACGCTTCAATGTGGTACCTGTTTCGGTACCACGGCTTTCAGAATGACGATGGTTCTCGCCATCGTCATCACGCTCTTGCGGGGAAGCACGAGTTGATACTGGTGAGGCATTGTATTCCTCACCATAGAGTTCATCATCACTGCCAAACAGACTGTGTTGCATTTCACGAGTCCACTCGTTCGACAGTGCTCTTGACGAACGATGAGGCACCGCCGGTGATCGGGATGCCTCTGGAACGTTGCGCGAGTCAGGCACGTCCGACTCGCCAGAATGGATGACCTCATTGACAAGGTCATCATGTGCACGTGGTGCGATACCACGTGCGCCTGCAGCACCTTCTGCTGCAGGCGGAGAACAAGCAGCAGACGAACAAGCGTCTGCCGCAGAGGCTGGCACATCAGCAGGTTGTGTGGTCTTCGAATCACCTCGCATGGACATGTTAACTATGCGAGGCAAGGTCAGGAGTGACTGGGTCTGACCAAACAAGTGCTCCCTGTCCCACTGGTGTCCAACGGGTGGTCACCAAGTTTTCGATAGTCACACGGTGACTATAAGATAAGGGAGGGGTGATGTAACGGGGTAGCCCGTTACATGAAATTGTCATTAAAACAATTTGACAATAAAGAATATTACGTCGAATATTCTTTTAACAATATCACAGACATGATGACATTGTTGAGATGACCGTAGGGTCTACTCATTGGTTGATATCGTGATGATATCAACCCACCAATCGCTGCCAGACGCGCGCAATGGGTGGTGAGTAGACGTCATCATTTATTTAGTTAGTATTAGTAAAATTAAGTCAGGACAACAGAGACTCAAGAAGTTATAGGACTTAATTATATTAATACAGTTTTACTTTTACCAAGAGACTAGTCTGACTACTTAGTCTCCTTTCCTTCCTCTGCGTTTCATTTAACACCTAGCAGGGCACTGTCGACCACTGTCGTCAGTGGAAGTATACTCCGTACTGGTCAACCAGTACATAGTCAACAGTGCCCCGTTACACAGGTGGTCTGAGAAGCGAATGCCACTCGATCAACTCCTCGGGATACTCAATTCGCAGCATTTTATCACTGGTTTCACTGACTATGATCGTCTGTGCCATGACGTGGTAAGGTCGTTTTGTCGTCACAGATATTTAAATGGTGATGCGGAGTACCTTAGGGGCATGGTAAAGTTGTTTGGAACGAAATACACCTTTCAATCTGAGGTGCTTGCGTCCTTACCTTATGGAACCGACCGTGCGCAAGCTGTTAATCTATTGGACCTGTGGCTAGGAGATCTTGTCGTGTCCGGTCGCGCTCCCCATGAAGCTTTCCGACTGCTAAAGCTGGAACAATTTGGAGGAGAGTTGTTCAACGAGGCGTTCCTACCGCTGTTGAACAAGTACGTCATCCTGCACAACAGATTTGACCCCGAGGCCACGACGTCTCTTTCCAATGAACTGGGCCTCTTACGAGGGGTTAGTGAGCCGAAGGGCACGGTTGCGGAGCATGCTGAGAAGTGGCTAAATGCTCAAGGAGAGACAGCGGAACCCGAGTACGCTGTGCGGCAAGTCAATTGGGACTGGGAGCTGCATGGGACGCCATTTGGTGGTAGGGTTGTGAAAGTCTGGACTAATTCTATCGATGAATGACTCCTTGAGGTGAAAAGGATACGCGAAGAGTTTCAGAAGGAGTACAACAGGTTTTGGCAGCTTCACGTTGACTGATTTATTGCCGCTCGTTTGCGATTGGAGATGAACTTGTTTGGTAACTTAGTCAATAACAGCCTACATATTAAATTTGATTGCCATGACCTGTACATGCACAGCAAAATATATACACCTGGCAGGGGCCAGCCAGGCGACGTGTCATCTGCTGGACTTGTAATCGTCGTCTTCTTTTTATCTTTCTTCCCAGTGAGCGCTCGTTACATCATTTTCAAAAAGTCGTAAGACGCAGCATGACCTTGTTGTTGAAGATCGATGAAGCAACATCATGATTTTGTGCTACGATCATAAGGGCAAAGTTATGAAAGCATTTGCGTGTTTGCGTGCTGTGATTGCTATACTTCTCCACATCTACTTACTGTCTGTATGTGCATCTACTTGTGTTCACGTATGTGTGCGCGCATAGCTTGTATTACACGTCATGCAAGGTTTGATCTAGCCGGTGCTTCTCCAATGGGCATCTATATACATATTTGTGCCACTCATTTAAAAGGCGAAAATTGCGACCGACCGCTCAAGAGTCGTGTGTCGTACGATCGCGCTGTTACGGAGTTAACTTTTCCTGACAACAATGAAGTTCAGTGCCTGTTAGGTGTAAGCATTGCATTGAGGAAGGTAAACGACTTAGGCAAAAAATCTAGTTGTAAAAAAAGGAAAATTGTTATTTGACCCAAATAAGTCCTATAATTCTTGTTTCGCTGTTCCGAACAAACGTGATTATATTAAGATAACAAAACGTATGATGACGTCGACTCACTACTAAATGCGCGCGTCTAGCAGCGATTGGTGGGTTGACATATGCACAATATCAACCAATGAGTAGACCCTTGGGACATCTCAACAAGATGACTATATTTAGTAATATTGTTAAAAGAATATCTACCAAAATCTTCTATATTACCATTTCGCACAATGGTTGGTTTATGTAACGGGCTTTCAACGGGGCAATTCCGTTGCATAACACTTGGTAAGAATGTATTAATTTTTGAATTTTATCTATTTTGATAATATTCGATTGACATTACTCGACAAGAAAAAATTTGGGCAGAATATTAACCCCGAAGGTAATAATTGTGCTCGCTCCACTTCTTGGTTGAGGTATACGGTAAATCAAGCAAATTAACCACCAATCGCTACTGGACGCGCACAATGGGTGGTGGGCAAGAAACTCACATAGGAAATTGTAAATTAATGTAGGTAGAAGAAGACAAAGATGGTTTACAAAAGAAATATAACTATATAAAATACATCTCTACTTTTCCCTCAGACAGAGCTTTCAGGTTCTGTTTGCTGTGATTGCCCTTCATCGCCACGTGTACGTGACGTCGGGATTACGCAGTCTTGTGCTCAATTAACTCAAGGTCTTGCCAGCAATCTGACAAAAGCGTTCCCCGTTACAAGGCTGTCCCGTTACATCACCCCATTAACTGATAGTCACCTTGTGACTATCGAAATTATGTGGCCACCCGTTGGGCACCATGAGGATAAGAAGCACTTGTTCGGTCAGATCCAAATATACCGGATCTTGCCTCGCTTAGTCATCATGATTATGCGAGATGAATCCAAGACCGCGCAGCACGTTACACTACAAGCATCTGCGGTAGATAACTCGTCGTCTCAATTTTTTGCTTGCGACACCTGTTTCCGCGGTCACACGCAGTAACTTGCCTTATGTCGATGGATTCGAAATGGGAGTCATAGAATCTGGCGAGTCAGACACGTCTGACTCGGGAAAGGCTTCAGAGGCATCCCCGTCTCCGGCGATACCTTTTCCTGAGCCTTTATTAAAGGCTCTGCCGAAGCGAAGAGCGAGTCCATTTGGTCGGACTCGCTGCTCGCGTCACAGTCTGTTCAGAAGTGATGAATTGTATGGCGGTGAGTATATTTACTCACCACCGCGCTCAACTTGTGCGTCTTCGCACGACTGTGTCGACGATGGCGCGAGACGTCGTCACTCGGGCACCGTGGTACCGACGATGGTACCACGTTGAAGCGTGGAGATCCGAAGCTGTGTCGCTTGCCCTAACGGCGTTTCAGTAACTTCTCTCACGCGACAAGTCAGAACTATCGAATTCCATTTTTGATGAAAGCAAGCTTCGAGGCTTGTCCTCCAGCGCGAGCAACTTTATCGCTGTAGAAGAATTTAACCTCGATTATTGTTTCAGCATCGATGGTACAATAGAATCAAGAAGCGTACTAAGAACTCGCTTTCTGCGGCATAAAACGCGCTCTTCCAATACGTCAGAAAATTTTGGACGTAAAAGCGTGGCTCCAAAACCTTGAGGTAGTACGCCATAGGTTAAATAAAAGGGAACCTTGACCGGTGCAATGTATTGGGTGCATCGATTATCGCGTAAGACAGGCATTTCTTGCCTCACATGAATTGACTCTTATGCAAGTTCTATTGACAATTTGCAGCGTGCGCTAAGATTCGGG